ATTCCTCCTTCTTGTTCCCCATGCTCCTAGCATTAGTATAGAGGCATCTAAGCCCCACAGTACGTGCCCTTGCTACTTCCCCATTCTGATGCTTAGCGGGACCCTTGGTACTTATGTGGACTGTTCCAGCACCTGGCTTGAGGTTAGTCATTCCTGGCATCTCCCTGTCATCAACATCCCCATCCCCCAACAAACCTAGTTAATAGTGTAGTACAATAACCAAGTAGCTGAGGAAAGAAAATGTCATACCTGGTGATGGGTGATATTTGGTAATATTTATTAATCAGCATTTAAAATTTGCAGTTCATAGAGTCATAGATATAGGCTCAGAAGGGACCTTGCAGATTTTCTAATCCGACCCCCTGCCCTGGGCAGGAGAGAAAACTGGGCTTAAATGACCCCAGCTAGGTAATCATCAAGCCTCCTCTTAAAGACCCCCAAGGTAGGTGCCAGCAATACTTTCCTTGAAGTTGTTTCCAGATCCTAGCCGCCATGACTATGAAGTAGTGCCTTCCAGTCTGAACCTACTCTCTAACAACTTACGGCCGTTATTCCTTGTTACTCTGGGAGGCGCTTGGGGGAACAAGGTCTCTCCCATTCCCCACTGGTACCCCCTAGTAAGTTTATAGATGGCCACCAGGTCCCCTCACAGCCTTCTCTTGTGAAAGCTGAACAAGTTAAGGTCTCGTAGCCTCTCCTCGTAGGGTCTATGCTGCTGTCCTTGAATCATGCGATTGGCCCTCCCCTGGACCCTCTCGATGCTGTCTACATCCCTCCTGAAGTGTGGCGCCCAGAACTGAACGCAGTACTCCAACTGCAGCCTGACCAGTGTTGCATAAAGGAGGAGGATCACCTCCTTGGCTCTGCTTGTAATTCAGTTAAAGCTCGAAGAATCAGAGAGTCAGTCGGTTCTCTGAACACCTGCTTAATAGTCTATTATGAAGCCAGGTAGAGGTGTATATGTGCGTTTTTATTTTCTTTCTCTGTGCTTGGAAGATGAGAAGAATTAATCTACGTGCAATATGCCATAAAGCAGAGATTTTCAACCTTTTTGGGTTGGTGTTACTCCCAGCAGCCGGTTGAGAAGGCAGGAATCCTGTGGCCAGATGAGGTGGGTGGTCCCCCAGCAGCCAGTTGATGACCAGGGGTGCGGAAGTGCTGGTGGCAGTACACGCTGCCGAGTACCCCCTGAGGCCATCCCAAGTACCCCCAGCTGAAAACCCTTGACATAAAGCATTATGTACCTACTTCAGGAAAGGAAAAATTACACGCGAGTAAATCTTTGCTGTGTATGTGTTCGTGTACACATATTTAAAGCACATATATTTATCTTAACTTTTAGATGCAATAAAAGTACAACTGTGTGAATAGTCTTCGGTGGTTAGAAAGTTTATTTCAATAGTTTTTGATAATTCTAGGTTTAGGAATATGGCAGTTGTATACATGTTTACATGTTTATGAGTATGGAGTGGCATACATGTTTATTGCTAATTAAGAATTTTAGTATCTCGACTTTTTTATGTGAGTGATGCTTTATGGTCCACTTTACAAAAGCCAAAATTAAAAAATTAAACAACTGATATGATTACATATTTATTTCATGCATCTCAAAAAGTCTGTCAGATTGGCTTTCGTTGCATCTGAACGTTCAAGTTCAAGTAAGAGGACTACATATAAAGTAATCTGGTTATTGCTTCTCCATAGATCACTGACACAACTCTGTACCTTGAAACAGTAAAGAAACGAGCATTAACATTGATACAATAATGGGATATTATGATGAAATCTGTTTGTAAAGTTCAAGCAGACAAATGTAGTGTTAATCATCAGGTTTGTGTGACCTATCTCACAGGTACAATTAAAAAATGCCCACAAAACTGGAGCAATGTTGGCATAGTTAATTACTTCCCTCATCCCCCCCATCTTCTCAGCAGCAAAATCTAACACCTTCAAAAGATCCCAACCCTTTAAACTCCATAAAAAGAGAGCTCTCTCATTTAAAATCAACACTTCAGTCTTTGCGAATACAAATGAATAACTAAATAAGATACTAATGTAATATTCCTCTTTTTTCCTAACACATGAAGACCAATAATGTGAAACTGAATTGCCATTTAGCAAATATAACAAGGATTGTAGGCAGGAAACAACAGCCTTGGAAACAAATCAAAGATAGTACCTTGGGAAAGTATCAGATGAACTCTCATTTTGTTAAATGATGTCCCTAGAAATAGCTTTTTCAAATTCTAAAATTGCTCAGTCCTTTTGGGTAAGAGATTCTTGATATCCCTAGATGTTTACTTCAAGATGAGTGATAAAAAAGTTTGAATATTTGTAAGATCACTCAAAGCTCTCTGAAGCACACTCTAAATCAGAAAAAATAGCCAGTAGCTCCTTGGTAATAAATCATTTTAGTAGATTTTTTTTATTGCTGTAGTATCTTGCTCAAGTCTGCCCTTCAGAAAGATGGTCTTACTGGATATTTAATGCCATGCTGTCTGAAGTGGTCAAAACATTATCAAACATGTAATTACATGTCTGAAGTTACAGTTACAATAATTTCTAGAGTCATGCCATCCAAAGTGATCATTCCAAACATTCATAAATATGCCCATTTACCTGATTCACTGTTTTCAGGTACGTCAGCCAAGTACAGGTTCATGACTGTGCATTTGTTTTCTAGCTCATCAGTCTTAATGTTGAACTGTTTACAGACCTTGATCAACATATCCAAAATGGCCTCATGCCCAGAAGATCAAGTTTCAAGGTTTGTGTCATGGAACCTTACACTTTTTTAATTTTTTTAAATGGATTCAAGCTTGTTGTCAACATCCAACTGGGCTTGAATGCTGTCAGTTTATTTATGAGGTAAATCTAGGGTTTTGGAGATGATAGATTTCTGGCTCATTTAATTCAGCTTGTAGATTGACCATGATAGGGCTGAGGAGGTGATGCACATTCCTTAGAATGTGGGTTCTTTTTTCTTTTCTTTTCTTATTTTTTTAAAGGAACTAAAGTTCAATTTACTTTTCACCATAGACTACACTGCAGAGACACATGACATCTATGGGAATTCAATAATAAAGGGGAACAAAAAATGTAATTTCAGGAAAGAGAAGCGGTTAAAAAAGCAGTTGCTATATGATCTATGCATGCATCCCTCCTTTCTCCATTAGTGTTCTCTAACCATTTCTGAGCCTTGCATGGTTTTCTTTTTTGGATTGTTGATTCCTATCCCCAACATAGCTAAACATGATTAATGTAAGTCTCAGATATTTTAAATCAGGGCATTTACTGTAATAGCATTTCCTTCCACCCTCCCATTTTCCTGGAGAAACTGGGAGGAGGATATAACTTGCATAAGTGCAGACTTGGAAGAGAATTTTTTTTGAAGAGTGGTTCAAATTTTTTTAGTCTCATTTTCCTCTTTTAAGTTAGTTATGATGCTGTGTGTCCCTGGGCTTCTTTGCTATGGATAATTTAAAAAGCAACACTTTTTATCCTTATAATCATATTGTGCCCTCAACAACATAAAAGAGGCTGTAGAGTATGTTTTGAATTTTCCCTTTCATATATTTCCATTCTTTTGCTCTCTCATTCCTTCCTTTCATATAACCTCCAGAAGTTTCTTCCCATATACCCTTAAAAGTTAAAAGTTTAGGAAGTACTGGTTCCTATATACTGTACCCCACTACTCCAGATGCCGTGTCTTTCCCAAAAAACTGCATATTGTGCAAAAGCGTGGAGAGATAGGACATTGTGAAATGGATACATGTAGGACTGGGATAACGCACCTAAATTATTTTCGTCCATAATCAAGGTAGTATTTGAATGTATGTTTCCAGAGCTAAAAAGTTAACACCAAAGTGTTTACCAATCCTTAACTGTTGTGGTTTTATTGGAATGACTCTGCTAATTTACATTACATTTTCCTAATAGCTGGGGTTTTAAATAGACATGAAAATAAATGCAGACTATTATACGTGAAGAGGGGGCCCATTTCCTTTCCTTTTAGTTTTTTTCTTTGCAAAGTAAGTTTTTCTTTCCATTTATATAAGCATGAATACACAAAATACCTGGACATCAAATTATCAGAGAATATTTTTCCATAAGGTTGAGCAGATAGACATGCCTCAACCTCCACTTTCTTTTCTTAAGTGTGTTGCTTGCGACAGTTAAAAATAAAAATATGTGAAGGTTATAGATTTTTCAAAGATACTAAGTGTAATACTTCTAATTATAGTATATGAGATGCATTCTAAACCTCGAAATCAAGAAGACATTTCACGAGTAGGGCATTTCTGATTTCCAAAAGCCAAAACAGTTATCAGAATACCAAATATCTTCAACAATTAACATTCCTAAAACACAAGTGGTAAAATTCTGTTGGATTGCATGACTTGAGCATAATTTAGCCAAGAAGTTCACAATCTCTTGTTTACTAATACTCACTCTCTGTTTCCTGGATTGAGATGACTTTCTGTGTTACTGATAGACATTACAAATGAAAAACCTATCTAGTCATCTAGTTCACTTCAGTGAACAGTATGTTCCTGCAACATTTTTTTTTCTGTCACAGAAGAAATTTTGAATACCTTGTGTACCTCAGCAGTCATTGGGGAATATTTTTTCTTGATGCCACAAGTAAACATAAAATCTAAAACATAAAATCAACATTTCATTCACCCATTGGGAATTTGTAGTATTTACATATTTCTGATTAGTCCTGATACTGTAAACCTTTTATGAGCTGCTTCAATGAAAAAGATTATATTCACTTGAAAGTTTTGGGGTTTGTTTGTTTTTTTTGGTCTTGTCAGCTTTTATCTGTCTACATATTTGGAAACCTCTGGGCATTACAGAGCAATATTTAAGAATGACATTAAGAAAAGAAACCAGACATGTTTCACTAAAATTCCAAAAGTGCTTTCTGTGGCTAAATCCTCAAAGTGCTTCATGACCAAGGATCCTACTTAAATGTGCTTTCTCCTTGTTTTTAGGCCAGAGCCTCAACAGAAAGCCCCTTCTGCACCTCCACCCCCACCACCTCCACCTCTGCCAGAGCCAACGCCACCAGAACCAGAGGAAGAAATTCTTGGATCTGATGATGAAGAGCAAGAAGATCCTGCAGATTATTGTAAAGGTCTGTATAATCGAACGTCATATAAAAAGTGTAACATTCAACAGCAAATCTTTCTATAGCTGCTACAGCTCTGGTTCTTGGGAATGATTTGACTTGCCTGCACGGAGTGTGGTTCTTGTGCTTGTGTATATTGATTTTCTTAGGAGCTAGTCCTTGACTATGGAATTCACTCTGCAGGTGCTAAGAATAACAAGAAACATCATCACTGCTTTCTAGACCAAGTGCAAAATGATTTTTGAATTTGTTTTCACACATAGCTTTACTTGTTTTATTTGTAATAAAAAAGTAACTTTCCCCTAGGCAGAGACATTAATGTAAGTAGAGATAGGTGAGTGGGGCATAAGCCCCGGATGCTGACTTAGAAGGTTGCTGGAATGCTTCCTCCAGGAGCCAGGTGCAGGGACACAGCAGCAGCAGCCAGGGTCTTTGAGTCTCTGGGACAGGTAAAACTGATCACTTCCTGTCCCCTGCTCTCTGATGCTTGGAAACGCCCTCCCCCCACTCCAGACACAGGGGAGTTTTGCCTAAGGCATAAAACATATTAGTTACGCTTCTGGGTACAGGAATAAATTAATATTCATTGCTTTATTTATTTATTTATTTAGGAAGACTTTCAAATACCTTGGTGACTGGGAAATACAAGAACCTACATTTAGAATAGAATTAATTTCTTGGTTTCCTTTCTTCAGCTTAGGTGTACCATTCAGACACTCATTTTCATTACAACCTTCTTATCCTGACCTAGGGCACCATGTGGAAATTTTCCTTGTTGCTTTTTCTTATTTGCATTCCAGTCTGAGTTACAGTCATCCTGAGCTAACTTGGCCACATTTTATAATCCAACTGTTCTCAACTTCTGAAAGGAGTCTTGGCACCAGATTTGATATTGGAGCAGTGCATCACAGCACCATATACCTGACAAAAAATACAAAATACTTCAGAGGAAATGGCAAAGAAACTTAGCTAAACCTCACTGTGTTTATCAAAT